GGCGAGAATGGCAGGGGCAAGAGAGAGCTAAATTAATCACTCACTCTCCTTGTAAAGCCATCAGAACCATGCCATTTACTCCATGAGTGGATAAATCCTTTCACAAGGGCACAGTTCTCACAATCTAATCACCTCTTAAAGGCTCCACCTTTCAATTACCATAATAGGATTTCCCACCTTCTTAACTTGTCAAATTAGGGATAAAGTTTCTAATACATTAAACTTTGGCAGACACATTCAACTCATATCAGGTTTATAGCATATATAGATGTAATATGTATACCAATAACTTCACATAAGAGAGAATATAGCTATTGAAAAGTAACATTTCTATATCTCACTGGAATTAAGTTAGTATACATGTGAAGTAGATTCTGATAAGATGTATATAGTGAGTCCTAGAGCAACCACTAAAAATACTCCAAAATACATAGTAAAACATTTATTAAAGGAATTAAAATGTTACACAGGAAGTATTTATATTATGTCAAACAAAGCAGTAAAGAAGGGACTAGAGGAACAAAAAAGACATGACACATGTAGAAAATCAAAAGGAAAATGACAGGTGTAATGCAACTATATCAATAACATTAAATGGGGATGGATTAAACAATTAATCAAAAGACATAGATGTGATGTTATTTTTTTAAAATTAAGATTCAACTGTATGCTGTAGACACACTTTAGATTGAAAGATACAAACAAGTTGAAAGGAAAAAATGGAAAAAGATCATGCAAACAGCAACCATAAGAAAGGTAGAGTTTCCACTGATCTTTCTAGATGTTCTGTTCATTATTGAATGTGAGCTGTCAAAGTATCCAACTAGTATTGCAGAACTGTCTATAAAAAAAAAGAAAGAAAGAAAGCTAGAGTTCCTATACTAGTATTAGAAAAAAATAGATTTTAAAGCAAAAAAAAAGTTACTAGAAATAAAGGACATTGTATAATGATAAATGTATCAATTGATCAAGAAGATTTAACAGTTATAAACATATATACACCTAATAATAGAGTTACAAAATACATGATGCAATACCTGATAGAACAGAAGGGAGAAATAGACAATTCAACAATAACTGTTGAAAATTTCAACATCCCACTTTCAATAATGAATGCAATAACTAGGCAGAAGATAGAAAAGGAAATAGAAGACTTGAAAAATGCCATGTACAAGACCTGTATATACTGAAGTCTGCAAAATATTGCAGAAAGAAGCTTTTTAAAATTCATTTACATGGAGGTGAATATCATGTTTATGGATTGCAAGACTCAAGTTTTTAAAAAAATGTTTATTATACCAAATTTATATATTTATCACAATCCAATAAAAGTCTAGCATATCTTTTGTAGTAATTGACAAAGTCATTCTAAAATTTATACGGAAATGCAAAGTATCTAAAGTAACTAAAACACTGGAAAAGAAGAACAAAGTTGGAGGATTTTCTACCTGATTTCAAGCTGTACTATAAAACTATATTAATTATTATAGTGTGGTATTTGAAAAAGATGAGTAAACCAATGATTATAGAATAGGGAGTATAGAAACAGAACCACACATGTATGGTCAATTTATTTTTAACAAAGCATCAATAAAAGTTAATGAAGAAAGGAAAGTCTTTTTAACAAATAATGGTGGAACAACTAGGCAAACATATGTGGGGAAAAATAGACCTTAATCCCTATCTCATGCCATAACCAAAAATTACCTTGAGATGAATTATAGATCTGAAAATGAAAACTAAAAATTGCAAAGCTTCTAGAAGAAAACAAAGAATAATATCTTCATGCTCCTGGGGTTGGCAATGATTAGTTCGACAGGAATCAAAAAGAAATCCCACTTAAAAAAAAAAAAAAAGAAAAATTGTCCTTCAATTAAATGAAATTTCTGCTCATCAAAAGACACCGTTAAAAAAATGAAAGATAAATCACATACTGGATGAAAATATTCACAGTACCTACTTCTGACTTTTACCTAAAAAATATAAAGAATTCCTACCACTACATAACAAAAAGACAAGCAATCATACAGAAAAAATTAGCCAAACACATGAATAGGAACGTCACAAACAAAGACATATTATTAGCCAATAAGCATATTAAAATGTTCCAACTGTCAGTAGTTATCAGGGAAATTTAAAATAAAATCATAATAAGATACTACTATAACTAGAAGGGCTAAGATTTTAAAAGACTGATAATACCTAGTGTTGGTGAGGATATTGAGTAACCAGAATTCCCATAGTTGCTGGTGATAATGCAATATGTATAGCTCCTGTCATACCATAGTGGAGAGATTATGCAATATTTTATAGCTAAATAGAAAAAAACTAAAGACTTTTACACAAATTTATTAGTGTTATTTAGTATACAAAAGACTGGAAAACCTACATGTTTCACATGTTAAAGTATGATATGTCCTTATAATGATGGGATGAAATTCTAATGAAATGGGGGAATTATTTATGAAATAATATTATATAGAAAAATCAGAATATGAAACTGTCTTTATGAGACTAAAAATACTTATGGGAGAAAGAAAATAAGCCAAAATTATGGGTGAAATTATGTAGTTTTTACCCCCTCCCCCTCCCTTCTCTGTATTTCCAAGTCTTCTACAGGGATGAAGCATCACTGCAATTTTTGAATAATGATTTTTTTTTTTTTGACCGGTAAGGGGATTGCAACCCTTGGCTTGGTGTTGCCCATACCACGCTCAGCCAGTGAGCACACCGGCCATCCCTATATAGGATCCAAACCCAGGGCCTCAGCACTACCAGTGCCGCACTCTCCTGAGTGAGCCATGGGGCCAGCCCGAATAATGATTGTTTTGAATAATTATACAGATTGAATGATGATGACTATACAAATATTTAGTTTAGTGTTTGGACACATTGTAAATTGACATATAGCAATAGTTTTACTATTATATTATTAGGTCCACGTTGAGCAAGAAAGCAGGTGAATTTAGAAGGAACTAGGGAAAACAACAGATCGAATAGACAGTACAGAAATAGAAAATGTGGTATTTTCCAGATATGTGAAGCTTAGCTCTTTGATCACTGAATTGTTTATTTTAAATTTTTGATGAAATTCTAACATATACTTCATACTTTCTTACCTATTAAAATATAGTGACCACATCCCAACTCTCCTAGCTCATAGCTGTGTAACATTGCAGAATTCATGTAATAGCCTCTCTGCATCTGTTTTCTTATCTATTCAATGGGGGGGTAATAATATAACCTATCGTATTATTGTTTGGTGTAAAAGAGATAATTTAGATAAAGTACTTAGCAAAGTATTAGCTATAAAATAATAAATATTAGTTGCTATTATTACTGTTACTACAAATACCATGAGCACATTAGGCATTTTATAAATTCTATTGACTGACTCAACTTATAGTGATGTCCTCAAAGTCTTTCTAAGATCTGTAAAACACCAACCCTCTATTAAATATTTTCAGATCACTCAGTAGTCATTATAGTTCCTCTCTGCCTACTCCTTGTCTGTTGTTCCAAGTTCCCTTTCTTAATGTTTCTTGTTCTAGTAGCATTCTCCCCTTTACTACCTGCTGCTTCTAATTTGCAGTCAGATAGCAAAGCCTGTTTAAGTCAGTAAATTTTCAAGGAGTGCCTGGGGTAGTTCCATAGCAACTCTGTAGATTAACATTTATTGCTTACTTAGTGATAAACTTTTTCCTATCCAATTTGTATCTCTAGGGGTAAGACTGTGTTCAAGACAGTTTAGTTTGATGATTGTCTATTTCCAGATTAATAATAATACTTATATCAGAAAATATTATAGGTATATTATGGTTAAAAATTTAAAGACTGAATAAGCATTAAGTTAAATGTCTTGAAAACTTTCAGTGATGTAAGAAATAGAGCAAACAATAAGCCTTGCCCTGCAGTTGGCGCTCAAAACTCTATGAGCATTTGAAATGATATAGTGCCAAATAATATAGTATTGAAAATCTGTACTGTGGAGATCTGGATTCTATTCAAACTCTGTCATTGACTTAGTTCTGTGAGCTTGAGTAAATAGCATAAAATCTTTGAACTTACAGTTTCTCATCTATGAAACAAATGTTAGGCTAGGTTATTATAATGTGGCCTTTTCAGTTCCAAAATCCTATGAGTTTTTGAAACTATAGCAAATTTATTGGTACAAACTGTATAAAGAAGAGAGTGATGGGAAAGAATATGAGCAAAGATGATTTTGGTCATCAACAACAGCTCTCAAATGTTTCTGGGCAGGGGGACTTACATTAAAGTAGAGATTTATTTACAAAGGAAAAAGTATGTGAGACTTTCCAACAAGGATAGGAAAACCACAATGAAGGAGATTTTACAAATTCCATAGGAATACAGACTGGCAGGTAGTGAAAATTATAAAATGTTTATTAATCTATTGTGACTGTCCTTGTACTTGTCAAGAAAGTGACAGAAAAGAAAGTAAGAAATATTAAAAATAAGAAAGTATAGTGCTTGTTATAAGATGGAATTTGATACCATTGAACAAATCACTTGATAATGCACAATACTGCATTTTTACAAATAAATTAAAATTTTTAAATTTGCAGCATCTCTAAACATCTTCTAAAAGGTAATAACCATTTCTCCTGAAAGTAGAAGATCTGACTAACTCTTTATAAAAACCCTTCTAGTTCTTATTACTCTTGGTCTATTTTCAGATGAAATTGGGTCATTTATTAAAGCATCTATTTCAAACGAAAATAATTTTTAAAAAGGGATTTTATATCTTTCAACCATCCATGTTTAATTACCCTTTGTGTGTCAGTCAGTTATTGCTTCTTATCTTTTTCCGTATCACTTGTTTAAACAAATTTTCAGAATAATTGACATAACATGGCCATGGGAAAGTAGTTTTCACAGGGGGAAAAAGCCTATTTAAACATAAAGGAACTAAGAAATAGGACCACGTATGAAGTGCTAGCAATATTAATCTCATTTTTTTTTTGTCATTATATTTTCAGGTTTAACTGAGCTGAATGACAATCCAGTTCCTCCAGAACTTGAGCGCTGCAAATCTCCCACTTCAGGTAAACATGAACGGTATTTTTCAGGCTTCTGGTAATTCACTGCAGTAATCTATTGCTTTATTTTCATAATTCTTAAAATGTGAAGTTAATAATTTTAGTAATTAGGTACAACTCAGTTTCTGAAATTTCAAAAATCAAATAGAAATAAATGTCTTTAAAAATATTTTTGGCCTGGGCCAGCCTGGTGGCACACTGGAGAGTGCGCCGCTTGGGAGTGCAGAGGCGCTCCCACCGAGGGTTCAGATCCCATGTGGAGACCGGTTCCCGCTCACTGGCTGAGCAAGGTGCGGGCGCGGCACCGAGGGTTGCGATCCCGTTACCGGTCAGTAAAAAAAGACAAAAAGGAAAAATATATATATATATATTTTTGGCCCAAAATAAAATTAAGATCAGAGGTATGAGCACAATACTTTTAAATACATTTTAAAGGAGGGTTATTTTGCACATACCTTAATAAAAAGTAGCAGATAAAAATTGGTAATATTACACAGAAACTTTGTCATCTTATGGCTAGAACTGAATTAGTAGGAAGTATATACTATAGGTACAGGAGCAAATTATACCATTCCTCTGGACCGCAATTTGGAAACCTGTATATTCACTGACAAAGAAAGAAAAATGATAGTATAATATGGCGTAAAGTAAAACATCAAGATAAAATATGAGCCCATTAAAACATATAAAAAATGTGATAAAGATTTCTAGGGATAAGTCTTTAAGTCATGTATGAATCTTTGGGTAGTGAGATTATGGGTGGTTTACCTGGTTTTTTAAAAAATTTTTATTTATCTGTTTATTCTGATTTTTCTATAATGAATATATAGTAAAATGTAAGTTTTTAAGCACCAAAAATATTAGGCATATCTTTGATACTGAACTATAGATCTATTTTTACAGACTAGCAAAAATTGTAATTCCTTTTTATTTACATTATTTTTTATTTGAATTTCAAACAAGTTTATAAAAATTTAATAATGTTTTTATAAAGCAATGAATTTGGACTTTTAGAAATTAAGAATTGCAACGTTTCTTCAATTTACTTTATCTCTTAAAAGTTGTTAGTATTTTATCATTGTTCTTTGAGAATCTAGGCTATATAGAATCTAGTTCCGTATAAATTTTTCTTTTAATCATATCTTTCTAATTCTTATTTTATGGTTTTATTTTAAAGATTGTCTCATACATTTACCCTTTCTTTTGCATTCTCATTGGCACCATCCTAATTTAGGTATTTATTATTTCCACATACCTAGATAGAGTATCACCTAGAGTAGGTGTCTCTACTTTCCATCTCTCTCTTTTACAATTCATTCTGCATGTCGTGTTGCAAAATCAATCTCCTTAAAATATTACTTTAATCATATTTTCCCATAGTCAGAAATCCTATATTGAATTTACATAATAACCTAACCTGACTTTAAATTCTCATTCATAATCTTAATTTGAATAGTAATACATTTATATGGTTCAAACATCAAAAAGAAATTGAACAAAACTCTGTTTCCATCCTCCTAAAAAAATAAACATTATTGTTTCTTTTTATCCTTTCAGATAATTTGTATTTGTAAACAAACCAAAACATTTTCTTTTTTGCTTCCCATTTTATGCACTTTACTATATTGTGCTTGTTTCACTTTACAGTGTATCCTGTCTTTTTATTTTATTACATTTTTTAAAATTGTTGTATGATTATTGAATTTCATGCATGTACTGTAATTTATTTAAGCAGTTTACCTGTTAAAGGACATTTAGTTTGCTACCAAACTTCTGGTCTTACAAACAATGCTACAGTGACTAACCTTGGTATGTACCTGATTTTACATGTGTAAGTATATCGATGGGATAAATTCCTAAAATTGGAGTTGCTGGGTCAAAGAGTATGCCTGTCTCATTTTTACAGTTACTCCCAAATAACTCTTTTTAAGATTTGCAACAGTTTTCTCTCTTAGCAATAGCATGTAAACACTGTTTATCAAGTTTGTTTATTTTTCCAAGTCTAATAAGTAAAAAGGATATGTCAGTGTTGTTACAATTTACCTTTCACATATTATAAATGATGTCAAATACCTTTTCAAACGTTTAAGAGCTCCCTAAATTTTTTTTCTGTGAACCATCTATGCATATACTTTACCCATTTTCTATAGGATCATTTGTACTTTTATATCAATTTGTAGGACTTCATAGATTAAGATTATCCCTTTGTGACATGAGATCCAAATATTTTTCTCAATTCAACTTTTAACTTTCCTTGTGGTATCTCTTCTTTTAATCAGCTTTTTATAATCAGACATTGATCTTTTTTACCAAGGCTCTTCTTTCTTTATGCCCAACAGTTTAAATACTATTGGGATTATCTATTCTTTAAAGTTTTGGTAAAATCCCCTTTTCAAATTATTTACCCTTTATAATTTCTTATTTTGCATATTTGTAGTTTCTCTTTAAAGCATTATAGAAATTTTGCAACATATGCAAAAGTTGGGATTCTATTTTTCTTTAATTGGGCTAACAGTTGATCTGTTTTATTTTTTTATTTAGCCCCAAACAATAGGTTTTACTTTTTTGCTTTTTTTTTTTTTTTTTTGCTTAATTTCTGCTTTTATCTTTATTAGTTACTTCCTCTGCTTTCCTTTTTTTTTTTTTTCTTAATTTTTGCTTTTTTTTTTTTTAGCCCCAAACAATAGGTTTTTCTTTTTTGTTTTTTTTTTTTTTTTTTTTTTTTTTTTTTTTGCTTAATTTCTGCTTTTATCTTTATTAGTTACTTCCTCTGCTTTCCTTTATTTTATGTTTCTCATTTAAACTTTTTGGTGGTGTATGCTTAATTCATTTATATTTATTATTTCTTACATGTTGATGTAAGTATTCAATGCTCAATTTCCCTTTGAATTCTGCATTAAATGTATCACATAGTTTTCCATAAATTGGGATATCATTAGCATTAATTTCTATATAGTAGGAAATTTGTTCACATTTCTTTAACCCAAGAGTTATTTAGAAAATTCTAAAGGTAGCATTGAGTAGCTCTAACTGTTACTTTGTTATGTTATTTAAGCCTTTCATGTCCTTACTTATATTTCGATTACTTTACCCGCCAAGGGTGGAGAATGGGTGAATCAAAATATTGTACTATTAATGTGTTTCTGTCTCTTTTTCTTTGTATCTGTTGTGTTTTTATTTTTTAAGAATATTCATGCTGTCTTATTTTATGTGTAGGTATTCAGAAAGTATATCCACATTTTAAAGTACAACCTTTGCCATTAGTCACCATTGTTTGTTTCATTAAAAAAAAAAAAAAAGGGCTCTTCACCTGAATTCCACCTTGTTTACTATTAATACCACAACTCTTGCCTTTTTAATTTGGAACATTTTTGTATACCCTGACCTCTTTTTGGGTAAATTTTTTTTTATTGAGGTATAATATTCAAACCTCAAAGTGTATAAGTATTAAGGGTTCAGCCTGATTAGTTTTCAAAAATGGATATACCTAGTAAACAACCAGATCAAGAACTAGAACATTATTAGATCCCCAGAAGCCTCCCTTATGCACCTCTCAAACACTAACCCCCACAAATGTACCTACTATTCTGACTTTTACCACCATAGGTTATTAGTTTAGTGGGTTTTATTGCCATCAATTAGTTTTGTGGGATTCTCATATAAATGGAATTAAACAATACTTATTTTTTTTCTTATGTTGCTCAACATTTTATATATTATACTTATCTGTAGAGCTCTTTATCCTGTTCGTAACAATAGTTGTAAAGCTACATGACCATGCCAGTTGTCCAGCTACTTTTACCTGCCAACTACACCAATTGTCACACTCAGGCTAATGTCGGACATCTAATCCTGTCGACATCGCCAATTGTAGAACTCTTAATCCTGTTCATGACGCCAGTTGTAAAGCTAGGGCTGGGCCTGGTGCTCACAGACCCCTTGAGCCCATGTCCAGACTGGGTCACAAACCCTTCACACACCAGGCTGGGCCCCTAGACCCCTTACACTCAGGTCTATGAGCTAGGCAACTGGCAAACAGGTCCTTGGAAGCTGTAGGTTGGAAAGCATGGCTGCTTGCAGCAGTAGCCGCCCACAGGCAGACACCCGCCCACCTGCTTCACCAAAACTCTCTAAAGAACACAAGAATAGCAACAAAACTAAAAAGATATATTGGCGTACATATGCACTAACTCCACATACACACATACACACAATTTGCCTACAAAAGATGTGCTGAACCACACCCAACTGGACCCGAGGCGAGGGCCCTGACCAAACTATTCTATTTTTCCAACATCATCTATGTTGCTATATGATTTTTATTGCTGTGGAATATTTCACTAAATATATATACCTTAATTTATTTATGTAGTTTATTGTTGCTGAACATTTAGGTTTTCAGTTGGGAGCTATTATAAATAAAGATGATATGACTGATCTTGTACATTTTTTAATGCAAATATAAATGCATTTCTGTTGTATGTGTATCTGGGAGTAGAATTTTTGGGTCATAGGGTATGCATATGTTCAGCTTTAGTATAAACTATCAATGAGTTTTCTAAAGTGGTTGCACCAATTTTACTTCCACTAACAGTGTATGAGCGTTTCATTTGTTCCACACACTTGCCAATGTTTAATGTTTTTTTTCCAATTTTATTATTCCAAATTGTATGTAGTAATATGTTATTATGGAATTAAATTGCATATCCCTGATGTCTAATAATTTTAATGAGTTTTTTATGTTTATTGACTATTTTAATATCCTCTCTTATAAGATATTTAGGTCTTTTGGTCATGTTATTGGGTTGTCAACTTTTTATACTGATTTCTTATTTACAGAAAGTGTGTGTATGTGTGTGTGTGTGTGTGTGTGTGTGTGTGTGTGTGTGCTGGATAGAAGTTTTTGATGGATTATATATAGTGCGAAATATCTTCTCCCACTCTGTAGCTTGCCTTTCATGCTCTTAATAAAATAAGTTTTTAATGCCACTGTAATTCAATTTACAAATCTTTTTTTTACTGTTCCTGCTTTATGTGTTTTGTTTAAAGAAAATCTTTGTCCACCCCAAGATCATGAAGATATTTTTTTCATATTATCTTCTAGAAGCCTTATTATTTTACCTTTCACATTTAAGTTGAAGTTTCATTTGGAATTTATTTCTGTGTATAAGGTGAGAGAGGAGTCAAGTTTCATTTATACCATTCAGGAACAAGCACCATTTAGGGAGAAATAATCATTTCCCCCACTGCACTAAACTGGTATTTTTACCACAAAATAGTAGACTTTACCGTGTGTGTGTGTGTGTGTGTGTGTGAGAGTGTGTGTGTGTGTGTGTGAGTGTGTGTGTGTGTGTGTGTGTGTGTGTGTGTGTTTAGAGACTCTCTATTCTAATCCGCTGGCACATTTATCTATCATTTATCCAAAACCACACTGTTTTAATTGCTGTTGCTTTTTGGTATTGCTATCTGATAGTGTAAGTTCTCCAATTTTGTTTTTTGTGGTCTTTTTCAAGATTGTTATAGCTATTCCAGGTGTTGTGTGCTTCCACATAACTTTTAGGAAGAATTTGTCAGTTCACACACAAACATGCTTAGATTTTTATTGCAGTTCATTGGATCTATAGATCAATTGAGCAAAATTAACATATTCAACAATATTCAATTTTTTCTTTGGTGTCTCTCCAATTATGTGTGTCTTCTTTCTCTCAGTAATATTTTTAGTTTTCTTTGTAGAGTTCTTGCACATCTTTAAGTTCATTCCTTTGTATTTGATTTTTTTCCTGTTACTGTAAATGTTAGTCTTTATTTCTTTTTCTAATTGTCTGTGACTAGTTTGTAAATTCTTTTGGATTATCTACATATAAAATTACATCCCCGATGAAAATGACAGTTCTATTTCTTCTGTCTAAAGAAGGAAATTGGCTAGGACCTCCAGTACAATGTTTAATAGATGTGGTGTCAGCAGACATCTTCTTATTCCCAGTCCCAGGCATAAGGCTTTCAATATTTCATAATTAATTATGATAATTGTCATAAGTTTTTGGTAGATATCCTGCTTTTAGCCCTCTACCTATGATGTTTTTCTTCTTTTATTAATGTTAGAGCAGATCTGGGAACAACCACGCATTTTTTTTTTGACAAGGCTGACTCAGAGGACTTTGCATGCAATCAAGTAGATTGCTTCAAAGCAGGACAGCTTTGCCTATTTTTGTATTAAATTATGTGGGGCAGAAATAATGGACTATGATAAGAGTCATTTATCACTTCAATACCTTATCTGATACCTGTTTACTGGGAAGATCCCACTCTTCTTTCATAGCAACTTTAAATTATAAGGAATCATAATTGAAGAATGAGATTTTTTTTATAACACCTTTGTAATTGTTAAATGTTATATTTGTTAAAATATGTGAAATTTATCTTACTGGGGAAAGTGCCAACAGAGTTTACTTTATCTTAATTAAGAATATTGGAAATGATAGCTCCTGATTCCATTCATTTCCCACAAAAAGAACAATAATTAATTGTGTTATACTAGAAAGTCTTTTTAAGCCCACAAAGTAAAATGTAGCAACACATGTACCTAAAACTGCATTCTGCAATCTCTTGATATTGTTGTAGGAATTGTTGCCATTGAATCTAGATCATTGGGAAATGTATGATAAGGGTAAATGCAGACTTTTTAGCCCAATCTCATAAAACTAAAACATAACTATGAAGAAAACATATTTAAGAATTTAACAGTAGAGTTTACAAAACTCATAAAACTTATTGTCTCTAGAGGTAGGGAAGAATGAAAATATAAACAATTAAAATGTTTAGGTAACATTGGCAGAATCAACATATGTAATTATAGAAAACTAGAATATTTGTAATGCAGTCTAACTTTTGAGAAATTAAGAAAAGCAGCCATGCCCTCCTAATAAAAGTCTCCGTGTTGTTGCTTTAATGGTGGCTGGCCGGTATGGGGATCCAAAGGGGATTTGAACACTTAACCTTCGTGTTTTCAACACTGTGCTCTAACCAACTGAGCTAACAAGCCAGCCTGAAATAGTCCATGAGGTCTTATTAATAATGGCAATTGTTATGTTTGTATATGGGTATACCTTTCTTTTAAAAAAAAAAAACGTATACATAGCATTTAAGGGGCCAATACTATTCTTGTCTTCTCTCTCTTCCTTTTTATTCACCCTAGTGCAGTTGTTCTCAAACTTAAGCCTATATCAGAATCAAGTGAAGCAGATGAAGAATTTGTTAAAACACAGATTTTTGAATGATGTATAGCCAGAGATTTTAATTCAATAGGTCTGCAATAGAGCCTGAGGTTTTTCATTTCTAGCAAGTTTCCAGCTAATAATAATGCTTCTGGTCTCTGGACCACCTGAGAACCGTTGCCCTATGAAACATTTTGAAAATATATTTTTTAGTATTTACCTCCCCTACTGATTTCTATTTGAGAATCTCAGACTCTTGCCCTTTTAGATATGCTAAAAACAGATGAAAACATTGATGCAAATGTCTCTGAATAGGAAAGTTTGGGAATTAGGGAAGTCAGGAACCAGCAATCATTTTATAATCTGATTTCCTATGTGGATCTCAAACTCCCTTATACCGCAATGAACTACAGGTAAAGGACAGTGAAGTTCAGTCTATTAAGTATTTCCTTGAGGATAATCAAAGAGACAGAGTACAGATTGGGAGCTGAAAAAATCTAATGAACCAACCAGAAAGCTGATGTTCTCAGAGTAATATAATGCTTTCATATTACTTATTCACTCAACTAGTCAGCAAATAATTTTCAGTTTCTACAGTTAAACATTATGCTATCCACTGCAGATAAATGAATGAACAAAATAAACATACTCCATCACAAATAGAACTTACAGTCTATCTTCAGAAACAAACATTAAACTAACAGTTATGCAAAGTTTTAGTACTTTTTCTAAGCTGTGTAAACCTTTTTCACTCACCAGGTAAGACTGTGCAATTTGTATACTTCACAAACTTACCTCCCAAGAGGGTAAGTAGTGCTAACATTCAGCCCTAGCTCCACTTACCTTGCACAGAACGGCAATATCCTAAAGAAAATAGCCACTGTCTCTTTGTACAAAAAGTTGAAAACTCACCAAGACTTCACCCTAGTTCTGTGTCTTTCCAGAAGGTGTATATTTTTCTAGTATGTCTTACTTGAAGGTGTGCCTTTTTTCCTAATCCTCTGTTCAGATGAGCATCTTTTTCTAGGCTAGCATCAGGTCCTGATACTGCTGCTACCATATCCATCCACCCTCATAATTTTCACTGTCTACAATCCACAATAGACTTATTATGGTACCAAGTTCAAGTAAAGGCTAGAGTGATGGAAATATTTATCTTTTTTTTTTTTTTTCCTTTTTGTCTTTTTTTTACTAACTGGCAACGGGATTGCAACCCTCGGTGTTGCACCCGCCCTGCACTCAGCCAGTGAGCGGGAACCGGTCTCCACATGGGATCCGAACCCTCAGCGGGAGCGCTGCCACACTCCCAAGCGGCGCACTCTCCAGTGCGCCACCGGGCCGGCCCAGAAATATTTATCTTTATTAAAATATCACAGAGGTTAGTGTCACAAAATATTGGGCCGGCCCGGTGGCGCACTGGATAGTGCGCCGCTTGGGAAGCGCGGCGGTGCTCCCGTCCGAGGGTTCGGGTCCCACGTGTAGACCGGTTCCCGCTCACTGGCTGAGCGAGGCGCGGGAGCAACACCGAGGCTTGCGATCCCGTTGCCGGTCCCCGGTCCGGTACGGGGGCAACACTGAGGGTTGCGATCCGTTGCCGGACACGGAAAAAAAGACAAAAAAAAAAATATATATTAACAAAGAAGTGCTCAACTCTGTTGTTCTCAGTGCTAGGATAGAGCTAGTTCTTATAGCCTAGTTTGAATGTTCCTTTTGGGTAATACTATGTGCCTACAAACCCACTACATTAACAAAGAAGTGCTCAACTCTGTTGTTCTCAGTGCTAGGATAGAGCTGGTTCTTATAGCCTAGTTTGAATGTTCCTTTTGGGTAATACTATGTGCCTACAAACCCACTACATCCTTCAAAAACTTTCTTTTTCCCTCTGAACAGTCCTCTGTTGTGGAAGTTCCGATCTTTATTTCAGATAAAGGTACAAAATAGAGACCATTCCAAATAGTTATTACAAAATTCACCTTTAAGGTAAAAAATTTTGGTTCTCTTGGACTAAGAAATTACATGCCAACAGTTTTGTATTCCCTTCCTTTAGGACTTGCTACCAGAACTCCTGAGGCAGCACCAGGCTTTTATAGGAATGAAATACCAGCTGTGAGACAGAGGAATCAAGTACATCACTTGCCAGGTGAAGGTGAAAATCTCTTTTATGAACAAACAAGTTATTCATATCTCCACAATTTTCTAGACTTTTCAATTTGTCTCAAAACTTTACTCTCACTTGTGCTGAAAACACATGTCCTTCATGGTGAGTGAAAACAAATTTCCTTGAAGCAATTGTGAAAACCAGAGACACTTCAGTAGTCAAGGAAGATAATGATAATTGTTACCCATAATTTTACAAATAGTAGTTTGTTTTTTTCTTATGTAATACGACACTAGCAGGATATGCCTTTTTCTGATTAGAAAACTAAATCTCAGAATATTCGAGTGAATAGAGATGAAATTTAAAGTTAGCTATTTGTGGTTGGAGAACCTAAGCTTTTCCCCTAGTGTTTATTAATTAAATGAGAAAAATCAATATGAGATACATTTCTGGGAAAGAAAAAAAAAAAAACTGGAAAAAGGCAACAAAGTTTAGCAGCATGTAGGCCTTTCAGGGCTCCACCATGGCGTGGTGACTCCAAAATGCTTCTGTTTTGTTTTTGCTTTTTTAATTTTGCCTATATATGAGGATTCTTCAAAAGGTTAATGGAGCTGGCCAGTTAGCTCAGTTGGTTAAAGTGTGGTGCTGATAAAACCAAGGCCAAGGGTTAAATCCTCATACTGGCCAGATATCAAAAAAAAATTTTTTTTCTTTTTATAAAAAGCCTCATGGAAAGATTTTTATTATCTTTCAACTCTATTTTTCCACAGACTTTTTGAAGTACCCTTATACAAACCAAATGTTTTTGTCCTATCTCAGTTTCTGGCTTAGAGAAGATAGAGACAAATGAAATTTGTTACTATATTCAAACCAGTCGGTTAATCAATAAATAGATAAATTCATAGGTAAATAAACTTTACAAACATTTTAATCTAAACAACTTTTATGTTTTTTTTATTTTTTTTTCCTTTTTGTCTTTTTTACTGACCAGCAATGGGATCGCAACCCTCGGTGTTGCGCCCACACCACGCTCAACCAGTGGGCGGGAACCGGTCTCCACATGGGATCTGAACCCTCGGCGGGAGCGCCGCCACGCTCCCAAGCGGCGCACTCTCCAGTGCGCCACTGGGCCGGCCCAACAACTTTTATTTTAATTTAATGGTAGATTTATTTATTTTAGAGAAGATATCTAGACCACACAGGTGGTACCTTCTATATCAGGAAGATGGTGTCGATTAGTGGAAAGGACATAGTTTTGGAGTCAGAGAAATTTTCATTTTAACCTGTCACTTCCTAACATTATAACTAGCAAATTTCTTAACTTTAATTGTATGCTAGTGTCCAGAATATATATGTTCAATAATATTTAATAGTGGTTATTTTAAAAGCAGGTGTGAACATTTATGGCCTAAAGAGACTGAGTCTGGTCCCCAGTCATTCTGAACATCCAAATATTAGTTATAGCTTATCCATAACAAAGTAGAAATTCTTCACTAGAAATCAAAAAGTAAATCCAGTTGTTTCAAATTCAGAAACAACTAATTAAAAGCTTTGAATTAGAAACTTCTAACCTATCTCTTTATACTATTTCTCATTAAAGTAGTAGCCATATTCAGACTTTGATTCGGGGTTTAATCTATTCCTAAAATTTTAATTCAGATGTAGAACCAAGGATCTGACTGAGACTTACTTGAAGCCAGTACAACATCCTTCTGATGAACCAGGCTGCACATTTGTTGTCTTTGAACTGAATTAGGATATAGCAAAAAGGCACAAGAGTATACAGGTGATTAAAGGAGATGATACAATCAAGACACATGAAACCTCCTTTGCAAAACCATATTCTAATGCTAGAATTTCTATTCATATTTAGGGCTGAGCATATGACCTCATTGTCACATAAACTAGGGTAAGCCACCAGACTGATTATTACCCTGCCTCATTACTATAATTGAACCTAAATTTGGGAGGCGTGAATCTAAGAGTAGGGATGAATAGTTTTGCAAAGATTTATAATAAGGTGCTGTTGTCGGGCTTTGCCATCATCTGATCTTTAGGCCTGAATTTATAGATAAATACTATTATGTATTTTGCCATCAGCCAGTCCTTCACTCACTTGTATCATCTTTGGTCTCTCATGCCACTCTACTTAATAATTTCTAGGTAAGTCAAAAGTTGATAGATGTGATTAGGTAAGTGACTAACCCTATCTGTGGGGATGCTTTTCTTTGAAATTTTTTTTTTTTTTTTTGTCTTTTTCCGTGTCCGGCAATGGATTGCAACCCTCAGTGTTGCCCCCGTACCGGACCGGGGACCGGCAAACGGGATTGCAGCCCTCGGTGTTGCTCCCGCGCCTCGCTCAGCCAGTGAGCGGGAACCGGTCTGTATGTGGGATCCGAACCCTCGGGCGGGAGCGCCACCACGCTTCCCAAGCGGCGCACTTATCCAGTGCGCCACCAGGCCGGCCCCTTTCTTTGAATTTTTTAAGTCAGATTTATTGAGGTATAATTTACATAGAAGAAAATTCACCTTTTTCAGTTTATAATTCTATGAATTTTCTTTCCTTTGTTTTTAATTTGGTTTCTATTTTCAAAAAGTATGCCACAGCATACAAGAAGAATTTACTAGTAACAAGAAGAATTTACTGACAATTTACCCAGGATCTAACAGGACTAGGGTCATAAGAAATCAAACAATTGTAAGTCTAACAGTTGCTGCTGCAGTGTTCCCTGATCCCATCTGGATTACCTGTGGTACTATTTGCTGTACTATTTTCTATGAGCTCAACAGGCAATGTTTCAAGGCGTGAAGAATTAAAGAGACCATTCTATGTGAGGATGGACAATGTGATTTAAGGAGTTTTTTTTTTTTTTTTTTTTTTCTTGTCTGGGGGGTTTTTTTGTGTGACAGGTCGGTGCAAGGATTGAACCCTGGATTTTGGTGTTAACAGCACCATGCTCTAACCTACTGAATTAAGGAGATTTTTATAGAGAATAAGCTTATTATGAATCAAGTGTGTAATATCGCTCTTGAAAAAACAGTGGAATCTTAGGAAGTACTTTGTGCAGAGCAAAGTAACAGTACTATATACAATCAAGGGCTTTATCAAGTGTGCTATGTTTAATCACAGACACTAGATTTTAAACAGTGCATGTTGCTCAGATAAATCATTTTTGACATAGAATACCATAGAATGACAATCTTTTTTCGCTAACTGAAGTTTAATAATGAAAATAATAGTTAACGTTGAGTGCTTGCCATATACGACACACGCTAAGTGCTTTTACACATATTCCCTTACTTAATCCTAAAAAGATACTTGTGAAGGAGGAACTATTATTATCACCATTTCACAGAAGAAGGGAAACATAAATATTTCTGAGATTAAGACATTTTGTGTTCTTAAAAACTGGACTTCCCTTCATCAAATGCCAGGAAACCTACCCTGGAGAAAAGCAAGAGTTTGTATGGAGCTGTAAAGAGGGAAAGTAAGGTATCTAGCCTCTTCTAAGAGGGCACTACTACCCTTGTAACTGCCACCTTATATTCCTCATCAGAAATTGGAAGATCAAAGATAGATATAATGAAAAATTTTAATACTCAAAAAAGACCCCCCCCAGAAGAACCTGTTAACCTGAAAAAAAATCTAATCATAATCACATTGAAAGGCCCACAGAAGTGATATCTATATTTAAAAATAAGACAGAAACAATTTAAAAGATAGTTTAAGAAATAAATCCTTACATAATAATGTATTAGTTCCTGTTAAGAAATTAAATGAAAAATTATTTTAAATAAGTGGACCTTCTCAGTCCATCTAAATTATGAATCAGTTTATAAAATATACTTATTAGCAACCTCTTCTGAAGCACAATTATTGCGTATGTTTATTTAGTTTGCCATATTTTGATGTAAATAACATCTTTTTGTTTGTGGTGCTCATTCTAAACCCAAATTATTAAAATCTGATTAGACTTCCTCTTAATCTTATTTTTTAATGTCTTTTCATAGACAACTGCTTGTTATTATTTTATAATTGTGATGATACTTATGTTCTCTTTTATTCATAGACAACTGCCTGTTATTATTTTATAATTGCGATGATACTTATGTTCTCTTTTATTCATAGACAACTGCCTGTTATTATTTTATAATAGAGATAATATTTATGTTTTCTTTTATAAGTAGTTTAGCTTGGCAAATTGTAGTCAGGAAACTACAAACTGTGTAACAAATCCACCTTGCCACCTATTTTGGTATGACTTGTAAATTAAGAATGGGTTTTAAATTTTTACTTATCTCTCAAAAGACAAGTACTATTCCGTGACACATGAAGAGTATATTTGGGTTTGTATTCATATTTAGTTTTATAAAATCTATCATAAACGTGTTATAAATCATTTTTGAGCTGAAACATCAGAGATCATATCAATAATGTTATTTGACAGATAAGAAAATTAAGCTGCAGATTGACAAAGGGATTTTTCCAAAGTGAAATAACTGGGTAGTAGTAACAATTCAGAAATTTGTGAGATGTTTTCTGGTTTTAAATTTAATATTCTTTCTACTGTATCATTCTGCATCTTTATTTTTAAATAACTTTCCTGGTTGTAAGGAAAATCACTCATTAAAGGTTATAAATTAATTGGTAGTCTGAGTCTTAATAAAGTATTAATTGACAGAAAAGATTTCTAACATAATTTTCCCTAATGCATTTTTTCCTGTAGAAACACACATTCCAGTTAAATATTTTATGAGGTGCCCAATGTAAAATTTTTATTAACAGATAAATACTGAGGGGGACATCTTTTAATAAGTTGTAGGAATATTCTTGGTTTATGCAAACATTTTCTAGTTGATTTATAATAATATAATTCAGTTTATTATCAAATATTTTGTATTTTCAAGATTTTATCTACCTAATTCAACATCATAGTATTCAATGTTGATGTCATCATTTCCTCTACCATAGGCATAGTAAGGTTTCCTTGCCTACATCATATATAATAGAATTTTCTTCTTTCTACTTAAAAAAAAAAAGT